GGCTATAAACGATCGGCCACCTGCAGGATCCTCGCATGCGATAGATAGCCTAGTAGCCGGGACAACTTCTTTATGTTTACAGACGTGACGTAATGACGCAGCAGCATGCTCGAATTTCCCGTGAAAACCTACCCGTACCACTCAAATTAGAAAACATTATTATAAGCTAACCGTTGTGAATCGGGTTAAAGTAAGGAGATAGTTTTGAACACTGGCTGGTTATGCACTTGCTCAAATATTGATTTCGGATAATTTTTAACTAAAAAAAGTTACGGACTGCAGCTTTAAAGATTTAGGAAAGAACAGAGAGAATGGACTCTTCATGTGTTTTAAAAGAATATTACATAAAGAGTTGGTTTTATATGGTTGTGGAGAGTTATGCTGGCTGTTTTAGCACTTCTGGTGGTGGCAAGAATAATGTGAACTTGTCAAATGAAAGTTTTAGCTTTGTAAACACTAGCATATGTGTGGCAGCATTTAGTGACAATCGCACACAACAATATTTAATAATAGCATTTCAAAGAGTGCACATATCATTTCATGATGAATCGTCCTGTCATATAAAAAAAGATTTCAGAATAATTTTTAGATATAAGTTTTTGGCTTTTATCAAAATAACGTCGGATTGAAGTTAAAAGTTAGAGATCTATTTGATGGCTTAAAAAGTTAACATGCCTCTAGACATCAGATTTTTTGCAATAAGAGAATCCTAGTACAAAGACTGTCACGGTCACGGTGTGTGGAGGCAGGCAGGACGACGACGAGGACGACAAGGATTCCAATAATGACATTTATTGTAGACACAACAAGGCAGATACAGGTAGGTGAGACACACACTCGGGGTAACATTAACAATAACTGACACCAATGGTCAGACAGACAGGAACTAATATGGGGTGTATAATTAGAGGCAGACAGGTGAGCACAATGACGGTGATTAACTAATGATTAGACGGGCTAAACCAACACAAGGGGAAGAAACCACAATAAACAGTCCACAGGGGCGTTACAAAGACATGCTTGAACTAGCAATGAACTAGGACAATTCGCTGTAAATGGACTTATTGCAAGTATAGCGCCAACAGCAAGAATAATCACACGGATGAAGAATGCAATAGGTGAGCAGAAAACCATTCTGTTCTCTACACTTTTTATTTTTTTAAGTTACAGTGAGTTTGTTAAGGACAACAGACGGGTTTTACTCTCGCTGATCTTGTAAGTCCATACAGTACATGCTGATGTGTCTTTAGCACCTGCGTATTTGCAAGCAGATCTTTGTTTCAGGTGTTTGCATTGGCACAAGGCTTAAAATAAATACAGCATAATAGATTTCTGCTGTTTCTTTTGGGAACCCCCATTAAGGTAATTAGTTTTAGCTGTGGCATTGGAAAAAGCTTCACTTCATCTGCAAGGTTCAGTTGCTCAGTGCGCTGTGGGAGGAAAGGCTTTTGTTCCTCAATTCAGGTCACTGAAATGCAGAATTTAACATCCTGTACTGTACAATGATTGAAATCACACTGGGCTAAAGTCTTGATTATTTCATGCCATGACCAAAAAATTTACCATTCTGTATTCAATACTTCTTTTTTTTCTATTTCTTTTTAAAGCCACGGGTACTCTCGTAATGCCAAGCTGTGATGGTAATGGAGCACAGTACTGTATCCTCCAGAATCCTGGATCATTGCGAAAAAAAGGTCTAGTAATTTTGCACTTTCAGTGAGGTAACTAGACCTCTTTGATGGGATCATTCAGCACACGGTGGGTGAGCATCTAGATTGTCAGCGTCTTAGAGAAGGAATATTGAAGAGATGAGAATTCCAGAATACCGTTACTGCTTGATTGGTTTATGTGAAAAAATAATTTCCCACAAAGTCCAAATGAGCATGAGCGAATCTGAATATGACAAGAATACAAAATAAGGAATGTATAACATATTTTCATCGTGTATGCCCTTAAATCTTTGAAACGTTCTCAGTATCACATATAAGAGTGATTAGGGGGGAATCCAATTGTGTAATCTAACTAGGTTTACATATTGAAATAATAACAGCAGTTAACCTACAGCACATGCAGAGTCTTTCTGCCATCTCATGTTGAAAGAAATAATCTCACATCTGTCATTTAAGAGTGTATGAACTTCTATTATGACACATAAAGCAGATTTGATAATCTTCTGTGTTCCGGCGTTCAAAAGACAGGAACTTTTATCAATAGACTTAGGCTTTATTCTTATCTACACTTATTCGGAAAACTACACCTTTAAAGTATCTTTAAGCTTTAAAACATATCTTTATGTTTTAATTACAAGATCTTATGACCTGCCACTCAGGGGTCAACCTGAGAATTCAGAAAACTCTCTGTTACCCGTGAAATGATAACATTAACTTGGAACTTGATTTTGTCCTTTATTCCACTAGTGCAGAACTCACACCGTACACATTTTGGTAGTTGTTGTTGTTTACTTGTAGTTTAGAATTCTTGTACATTTATGTGCATACGTGTGCGGTCAAACTGTAAACACAAACAGTTCACAATTAATATTTAGCAATGTTTCACATATCACATTTGCATGAAGTATTATCACATGTGATACAATACAAATTTCTGGAACAATCTCTCGTGTCACAGACTTACGTTAAACTTTGTTTACTAACTAAATGCAACATATTGCACGAATAGTTAAACAAGTAACATAATAAACAACATATGTCTACACAAACGGCAAACAAAAGCGTATAATATTAACCGTTTAGGCGCAATGGCGCTAATCGCAAATAGCGATCTATATAGCGATATATCAGTCACCTCAGATTACTTAAACAACGAAACATTACTCACCACGCTGGGAATATATAGTTTAAATCATACTTTCATGTGAAATCATTAGAAATTCAACAAGCTACAGCAGAACAACATGGCCTTTCTCTGTCAGCCCTCTCTCTCTACTGTGCCTTCTCTCTCAGCGATCACACGAGTCCACTGAAACAACTTTCTTAAAGGGGCAGCACTCAACACTCTCATATTAAGGTCCTCTGCATAATCGCTGGAATTACTTGCTCTTAGGTCCTGTTCTCTTGATTTCGGTTCAAATCATTATCTCATATGGAGTAACTCGGTGGACTGTGTATTAAATCGTTGGGGTCAGAGGTTAAAAGCAGTCCACGTAATTACACTCAGGTTTATGGATTAAAAGCCAGTACTGCAAGAATAATGATCATGATATGGAAATAAGAGGTGAGCCAAAATGACTCTTTGAATGTATTTTTGTGTAATAGAGGACAGAACTGACATTATACTGATTTCATAGTTACATTTCTAAATCAAGCTTGTTAATGGCTGGTGTGACACTCCATATGTAATGGTTGCCTGCAAGTGAAACAAAACTTTCATCATCCACACACTGTTAAAAATCTTTCTTATTGTTTTACTTGATTTCTTTTTCAGTGCATCTTTTCCATTTAAGAGCCTACAGGGCAGGTGTAGAATGGGTGTATAAATAAAAAATAAAGTAAAACCCCTCCAGACTCATATGAAAAGGCTCTTTCACAGCACCATTGAGGTTCTGTATAGCACTTTCAAAGCATGCCTCTTTGTGCAACCAAAAAAAGAGTTCTATTTAGCACCAAAAAGGGTTGTGCTACTGTTAAAACCAAAACACCCTCACAAGTCTAGTGCTCTTACCATTTTCCTGAGATATATCTACATATTAAATTTAATAAAAAAAATACATAAAAATACAAGGGAAATTTCTCCAGCTACTGACTCACCTCCTCGCAAGTCTAGTGCTCTTACCATTTTCCTGAGATATATCTACATATTATTGCTCTTAGTCTTTGTTTATAATAAAGAAATGTAACATAAAAGTAATCTGAGTTTTCAAAAACTTCTGATGGAGATATCTACAATATGCATGGCAGTGAAGAAAGTGTGACATTATCTTTGCAATTAGATGAAAGGGAAATTTCTCCAGCTACTGACTCACATCCTCAGTGTCAACCAAAATGGATCCCTCTGAGGGGGGCTTTGATATTCTCACTGTATTTTGTGTTATTTCAACACAGATATATTTAGGGAGTTGATAACCACAGAGGGGGTGAAGTAATCAGAATCGCAGCAAATGAGAGTTTAAACATTTGTGACAGGGCCATTCATTTTGAGCGGTTTTAAACAATACCGTACACACAACTGCAGCAGCAGCCCACGGCAGTGACCATAAATAGGCTTATTTCACAACAGCGTTGTGCTCACAGCATCTCCTTTTTCTTACACATATCTGTATATGCTAAGCATTGAATATGAAAATCAAAAAGTGGTGCAGAACCAATAAATTTTTGCACCGCAAGCAAAACTTTGAGTACTTAATATGTTATTATATGCATAATTTATGCATTTATTAGCATTGTATTGCGTAGAGGTTATGGTATATTGAACACTTGAGCCAGGAGAAACATGCTTTTTGACTGTTTCAGGCTATTTTCATAAGAGCATAAATGTAGTGCATAGTTTATGCTGAGCTCATGGGAAAAGAGAGGAAGTAGGCTACAATCAACTTACGCATGTTGTTTGCTCTCGCCTGCACAGTGTCATAATGCTGTGTGTGCATTCCGATGGCCTCCTCGTGCTGACCCTGACGGGCGCCTTGCATGACGCTCGCAACAGCTCTGTTGAAGAACAAGCATTCATTAGCTTAGTATTCCATTGAATTGCCTTGCATTGTGTAATCGGCCTTTATTTAGATATCAAAGAACGGCATACAGTGATATAATGTCAGTAGACTGACATCTATTCATTCAGTGCTATAGCTGCCGCTGTCCAGAGTGCTGATTCAAAGAGAACAGGTTTTTCTGTGAGCCGCTCTTTCAGCAACCTGCACACTGTGGGCTGTGAAGCTCTCATCAGAGGTTTTGACCCACAGAATCAGTAGGAACAAGAGATTTCCACCTCCACCATTCAAGCTGAGTAACCAAAGGGTAAAAAACTGACAACCGGATGTTATGCAATACAATGTAATATCTAAAATGGTTTGTACAGTTCTTGTGGTTTACATGTACAAGTTAACCGTGTTTCCATGTGGATCTCTTGAGATCTGTGATTCAAGAAAGCCTTTAAAAAGAGAGCTTGCATAACACAAATCCATGAATTTAGAAAGCTTAATGAAGATTCAAGGGATTGTTTTTGCTCTAATTAAGCATGAATATGTATGGGAAGAATAGGCACAACAGTAAATGCAGAGCTTTGACAACCAACAATCAAAAGCCACAAAAGATTGGGTTATTGAGAAAATTCTTGGTTGGAATTTTTTTTTATCCATTCTTGGATGGAGTGAACAATTTTCACCCTTTTGCTGTTTTTAAATTTCTTTTAATTGTTGGTCTACTACACACATGCACCAAACGCATATCATTCACTGTTGCCATGCTGTTTTTCAGTGTCTTGCACCATGAGCGCTTTCCCTCTTTTCCCCCCTTTTGTTTTCTTTGTCAACATTTTGCCCAATAATAAAATCTTTACAACAAAACGCATTTCGAAACATCCGAGATCTGTTGCATTCAGTTATGTCTAGGTAAAATTTTTTTTTT